TTGTGGCTTTCGTGGGGGGATTGGTCGCGTTCCTCTCTCTGCGCGGTTGAGCACCGAAGTGTGTCTACGGTCTTTTTTGTCGTTTGTACGAGGATGTAAGTTGCCCCTTTTCTTAGCACTCAATCTCCTCGTGAACAGGATTCTAATTTGGATAGCAGACTACGATACCACGAGAAGTGGGGGGTCCCTGCCTAAGGGCATACCTAGTTTTGCCAACGTCTTTTGCGGTTTTGTTTCTTTTTCTTTTGGGCGGGCGCGAGAAAAGATAAATGGAGGGCGGGGATTGTGTGGTGATGGCGATGGTGGGCGGCCGAGGGGGAGAAGAAGAACCCTGACTACAGGGGGGAAGGCGACACCATTAATACCATACGATCTCGTACCTCACCGAAGGCCTCGTAATACACATTCCGTCGATCCCATATCTCGTTTGACACCCTTCGTGACACATCTGCCCGTGAACAGCCTCATGAAGCGCCTCAACCAAGGAAGTTCGGTAACGTTAACAAGCCTGGTCAACAGCTGCGGCGCAACGAGCGATGAGATACAGCCTCTGGATCGTAACATCGATTAATCTTCGGTGGGCCTGTAGGCTATAGTATGCAAAGCGGCGCTCTGGCATACCATACACAACCTGCACGGCTAAGGGGCTCTTGTTCAATAGAAAGGCCGAGGCTCCGGGTCCTTGCTTGGGTTGGAACACAAATCTTGGACGCAGCTCTCTCTCTCTCTCTCTCTCTCATCACGGAAATTCCGAGGGTACCCGGTCTACTGGGGTTGGTAATGCTTCGGGCTGGCTGCACCAAGTCGAACAACATTGACGATACCTTGCTTAGTCCAGCCGTTTGAGCAAGGCTGTGGCAACCTCACGTGTCGAGTACATGCAAACGGCACAGAGCCCTCTGGAACCCGAGGTTAAGAACGTCAATAAAGAGGCTGTTCACGAAGGGTACGCAAGTGGAACAAGTTCTTAAATGTGCTCACTGTATTATAGAAGCAACAATATGGTATCTAAACGCTCTAGCCGCCTTCAAAGGGGAAAGCCTACCCCTTTCGAGAGAACCACGCACTCAACCGCGACGGCGGGTGCTGGGACCCCTCTTGGCGGGCGTCGAAGTAGCCGACGAGGAACCGGTGGAAGGGGCAGCGGGGATGGGAACTTTCTGCTTGCCCTTGGCCTTCTTGGAGGGCGCATTCCAATAGTACGCCATCTGGGACGCGAGGACGGCGTTGAGGAGGAAGCCGGCAATGAAGTTGTACAGGATGAGCTTGTCGTCGACCTCCTGGAGTGTGGTGAAAATGCGGGAGAGGGAGCCGGCGAGGTAGTTGAAGACCTGTTGATTACACGTATTAGCACCTGAATCCTTCGAGGCTTCCCACACGGGGCGAGGAGCAATCGACTTACAGCGAATGCACTAAGCTGCCCGGTGCCGCCCTCGGACCAAATCGCCAGGATCTGGGGAACCTTGCTAGCGACGCTCAACACGCCCGCGCCAGCCTGCAGGTATCCCAACGTCTGCATATCGACCAAGCTCCCGGCAAACAGCGTTCCCAGTGCAACAGCCAACGCCGTCACAAACACGGCAGCCAGGCTCGCGCGGCCGGTATAGTTGAGCACCAAGACGGTGATGATGACATTTTGACCCATGATGAGCGCCGTCTCGCCGTAGGTGCTAAAGGGGAACTGGTTGCGGTAGTTGTAGGCCAGCGAGACGAGGTAGGAGGCCGTCTCGAGGAGGTACGACAGCACCGAGATGCCCTCGCCCGACTGCGACGAGGTGAGCTTGCGGATCTGCGGCAGCTTGACAATGCTCGAGACGCCGACGATGCCGAGGCCGATGCCCTTGGATAGGCCGAGCTTGATGCAGTCTACATCCTCAACGTTGATGTCCAGCAAGAGTGACTTGTAGCAGTGCTCGCCGATGATGGAGACGCCGAGGTCGCGGATCGGGGCCGGGAGGTTATGGGTGACAGGCTGGAGGGCGGAGCGGACGGCGTCCATGATTGCGGCTGGGGTGTCTGACGACGGGGAACACGGGACAAGCTTGTACTTGGTATTGGCTCAATCTATGCGTCGGCCGTCTTCGGATGTCGCGTCGTCAGGCTATATGGCAGAAGTTGCGACAAATTCACTGGGGAGAGCAGGGCAGTGAAGTGAAGAAAAAAAAAAAGTCAGCAGATGTTGAGAGCCACCCGGCGGACACGTTGAAGGAAGGGTTGAGGTCACTGTGAACCCTGAGATGGAGGTAAGGGGGCAGTGAATTAAACCAGTCGGGGAATTTCAAGTGGAGAGCTTAGCTGCAGGAGCTGACCAATCTCAGGCCTGTGAAATCCTAGCTACACCACCCCACGTCATCCCTGCGCAGCACTGTCCGTCCGTCAAAGTCCCATTGAATCGCGAGTGAGCAGTTCCCAATTCGCCGTATGAACCAACTTGGGATACAATCGTCGGATTTTCGTTGGAAATTCCTCTGCATACCTTGTCGAAAGCTTCCTCTAAGCCGATGTCGTTTCCACTCAACGCCTAGAAACCATGAAACCCAAATGAACTCGAAATACCGATAAGTATCAGTAACGCCAGCAACAACCCGCCTATCTTGATGACGACAGAAAGCTGTTCACTTCTTTCTCTTCTCCTTCTTTTGAGAAGCATTGAAGCTCTTGATGAGAGCAGCGCACTTGCTTAAGTTTCCCTTTGGCTCCCATGTATTCTGGTTCGAGCCGTATCCCTTCCACTTCACCATGTACATCTGCACCTTGGTCTTGGGGTCAACGCGTGCGCCAACGATCCTCTCAACGACGTAGAACTCCTCAGAACAAGTAGGAGAACTCGAGGTGCCTTTTACAGGGCTCTTCCTCGTAGCCTTCTTGGGGCGAGCGACGCCTCGGCCGTATGTCGTCACGGCCTGTCAGGGTGTCAATCTTAATGCGGTCTTGAAGTTAGGCGTGAGGGTACTGCTACCTTTTTCTCAGTAACTGCCTTCTCTACGGTAGAAGCACGAGTAGACCGACTAAGAGCAGTGGCTAACGTATCAGAGAGGTTAGAACGGGTAAAAGTAGGCGAAGACGACCAGAACGCAAGTGAATCCACTTTTAGACTTACCTTTGGTGACTGGTCCAGCGGGAATCGGGTTACCAGTAGGTTTCTTGGACTTGATCGAGACAGCGTTGGTAGTCTTTCTGGGACGACCGCGCTTCTTAGGAGCTTGCACCGGCGGAGGGGAACCATCATCTCTCTCAGTATCACTAGGACCGTGATCGTCGGGACCGTCTTCCTCATCAGAGTCGGAAGCATCTAGAGGAAGTCCTTTCTTCGTAGCAGGCGCGGCTCTGTTCTTGATCGAGGCTCGGACACTCTGAGCAGACCCATCCAGAGGCTTTTGGCCTTCAAGCAACTTACGTCTCTTGCTAGCTTTGCTGGTGGCGGGTTGACTAGACTGGCGCTTTCTGCTGGCCGACTTCTCGGAGGCACCAACAGGCTCGACCAAGTCGGACTCGATCTTCGGGATCAGGTCATCTTCGTCCTGATTCTCGGCGCCGTTCGCTTTGCTGTATAAACCTTGGCGTTAGTGAGGGAAACAACAGAGGCGCCGAAAACTCACGCTGCAGCCGAGGAGGCGGCAAGCTCGTTCTGGGTCATTGCAACCTCTCGGCCCTTGAAGACCAGTGGCACCGACATCGTAAATGGGGACGGTCGTGACGAGATTCTTGAGTTGGATACCTTGTCTAGAAAGAAGGTGGAATATAGCGAAGCTGCCCGGAAGGATCAGAGTGAGAAATTCGTGCACCTTCGTCTATCTTGAGTTAGATAGCTTGGGTAGTGATGGAAGGAGGAGGAAGATCCTATCCACCCACCTATTCACCCAGTCTACTCAAGTTGGAAGTAGGGCGAGGTTGCCGAGTCGGAAAACCATTACCCAGGGAAAGAGCCTCAACGACCTGACTGAGCCGAGGAAGGTCCGAGGGGGGGGGGGGGGGGAAAACCAAAAAGGGAGGGGGTTTGTTGGGGAAAGGGACCCTCGGGGGGGGGTTTGTGGGGGGGGGGAGCGAGAGGCAAAAAGGCGCAGAGGGAAGGGCCCGAGGGCGCGGGGGGGGGGGGGGGGGGGGGGGGGGGGGGGGGGGGGGGCAATCCAGAAAAGGAAGGCAGTTGCTTGGGAAAGAGATCCTCTCGGGCGAGTTTGATGGAAGGTGGACGCATACCTACATCTCTTTCTTTCCCTCACACCAGGCCTGGGGTTCTAAGTTAATGTAAAGTGAGTCCGTCCGATGAGCTGACCAGTTGAGCCATCTGGTAAGTGCTCGAGTTGGAATTTAAATCAGTAAATTGGATAATTCAAGCCAAAAGCTAACTAGCCACGGCGAACGGGCATATCAGTAGTACCCCAGCCTCGAGACAATTCCACTCGTACCTACAATTGATTATTACCTCAATACCGTGCTTCAAAGGACCAGGATGCCAACAATGCACCGGAACCGTCCAGTCTTGATCAGGTGTTTATTACTAGAAGGTACCTTGCCTGCGGGAGCGAGATGCAAGGGCGAACAAGAAGTCTGGGATGGGAACAAAGAAACCATCTTGAGGGATCTTTGTGAAAATATACTGAGCACGAGCAACTGTTCACTACTCACTGTCGTCTGACTAACGGGCGAAAGCAACTGAGATGTGCTCACCTCTCTCTCAACGCAGGTCTGGAAAATCGGGATCAAGTACAGCTCGCGCCTTTACTTCTGAACTTTAATTCTACTAGGGGCGACCTTAACTTGACATGGCCAGGCCTGCTGGGGCGCAAATCGGTCTGGGAAAGCCTCAGGTAGGGTTGGATGGGAGTCACATCAGAAGGTAGAAATAAAGCCAGCCGGACCTTTGCTCATATCAATCCATCGCGGAATCAAGACCACCAAAAGTTGTTTTAAGCTAAGGTACCTTGAACGACTACGCCAATGCCTGATGCACGTATGCTATTCTTTGACAAGTTAAGCCTGTCCCTATGCTATGCTTCATCTTAATCGTCGAGCTCCTCCACTCGCTTATCTCCAAAATCATGAAGTTGTCCTGACCTCGCCGCCTGCTCCACGGGGTTCTGTATATCAACGACGCCTGTCTTCTTGAGCCTAATGATCTGTTAGCATGTGTCAGAGTTGTGGGGCAAGTGCCATCTTGCCTTTCAAACAGGACGTATAGTCTCTCTGCCTCTCTCTCTTTTTCTTCTTCTGTCATCTCCGGAAGTTCAACGTGTTTTTCCTTGTCAATGAACTGTCCCGTAATGGGATTGACAGGCCGCTGCTCCTCGCCCGTGCTGAACGCTTCAGCAGCACTGGCAGGAATGGGAATGTTTTTCTGGAACAGGAAGCCTGATGCAAAGCCGTAACCAACGTTCTCAACAAACTTTGAAGCATCCTGGTCTGACATGTCGAAGAGAAGATAGGAGATGGCCTCCCGAAGGTGGGGGGTCAGGGGGTTGGTAGAGTTGCGCAATAAGCGTGATGTCAATGAAGTACCGCGGCCAAGAACCTCCTTTCTATCCTGCTCAGTAGGAAGAAGCTTCTTCCTAATAGACGTCTTGGCAGCGTCAGGAGCGCCATCGTGCACACGCCGCAAGACACCTATCAGCGGCGTTACCAGCTGCTCCAGTTCATTATCGGGATATGCCTTCAGAGCCGCGTCTAGTATCTCAATAAAGCGATCCGCTACCTTTGCAGGTTCACTCTTCGGATAAAGAGCCCCCTGGACATCTTTGTCCTCTAACTTGAGATCCAGCAAAGCGTTGACAAGGGTATTGAATGGCGGGTCGAGCGGTTTGTTGGAGGGAATATCATGCTTCCAAAGTAGTGCAACGATGTGTGGAATGGCGCCTGTAAATGCCGCCACTTCGGAGGGGCAAAAATGCGAGACGTTGAAAAGTAGCTTCAAAGTCTCGTTGAGCGCCATGTCTTCCATGGGATCGGCTGATACATGGGTCTGGGAACTTCCCAGGCGCTTTTGGTGCTTGGAAAGATTCTCAATCACGATATCGGCCAACCTGTGTTTCTGAATCAGAGCAAGAAGATCGATTTTGGTTCCGTAGGTGGTGAGGAACAAGACCCTGGAGACAAGGAATTCATGGTCGAAGCTGTCATTCTTCAATCTCCTGCAAGCTTGGTCCTCGTAGCCAAGGTCAACAAATGTTTGGCGAGCCTGAGGATTCAATAGCATCGTGTTGGCCAAAACTCTCAAAGCTGCCCTTGCCGTAGAGTTTGACGGGCTTACGAAGGCATGTCTTGTGAGCATCTCGATACCCTGTAGTCTATTAGCATCAACAGCACTCGTAGGAGGCAGATGGGATGACCTCTGGTGTAAAGATAGGATCAGCGTTGGTAGGGTCCCGCCCATAGATCTTTAGCTCTTCAAGAGCAGCATCACGCTCTAAGATGTAATTTTAGCTGGATGACTGAGAGAAGTATTGCATCGTAGATCAAACTTACGATGAGGGAGCAGAGTGGGTTTTTTCAGGTCGTCTTCCAACTTCTTCATAAGAGCAGTGACAGCCTCAAGTTTTGCTGAAGAATTGTCAGCGAGACAACTTCATGGGCCTGGTCTGGTCGGGCAACCTACCAGGGCCGGCCAGGTTGGCCTGCATGGCGAGGGGCTGTGACATGGTACGGCGGGCGGAGCTGAGCTTGTAGTCGGGATCGGCAACGGAGCGGAGCTTGGGCGAGCCCGGCCGAGCAAAGCTAGGGGCACTTGATTTGCGGCAGACCCTACGTTCCTTGACGCTCAGCATTCTCTTCAACTTGGATGCCATGATGGGCAGCACACTTCAGAAAGGAGTGTGAGATGCAAAGACAAGATTGGATTACCTTTTGGGGATCACAAGATGGAAGGAAGATGTCCACTTCCTGCAGTGGCGAGAAAAGGATATGCGGTTCAACGGATGTGATTGTGGCACTCGATCTCGAATTCAAGTGGCTTGATGTCTGACCGACCTCGACGATTTCGGCCTACCTTAGGTTCGGTAGTGCATCCACCAAAAATAGCTGAATCTGTCCAGCTGCGATTCGTGTAGGTGATGTAAGTTTGCCAACACCCAGTCGACCTTGTTCAATGTGCAAAGTAGAAGATATTGTTGATTTGTTGGTGTTGTCGTTTGTTAAAGTGAAGATGTGGCTGTAGTGGAATGTCGAGGTATCTGGCTGAGAAAGGGGAATGAGCCAGATGGAAGACTGACCGTGAGACACCAGCAATCCTTCCTTCCGTTCCTCCACCGTCGTTACACAAGAAGAGGGGCACTCGGTGGCCCGCCAGGCAGTTGGCAGTTGACGCGAGCGAGCAGACCGTGCACTTACGCAGTACGGGGTGCGCAAGCCACACCTGTGGCAGGAGTGCCTGTCTGACCTTACGTTAGTAAGCATCATGCTCAAAGCTGTGGGGCACTTTCCGTGTTGCTATGGTGCGGAACGCTTCCATTTGGAGGGCACGGGGGAAACTACGATGGATGCGAATTTGGAGACTGCGGTGGATGCCATTCATTCCACTGCCCCACTCTTCGACGGTCGGCGGCCCAACCCCCGGGCAACCAGGCAGCGCCAACGACGGGGGTACACGACATGCACGGGCCACTTGTTTAAGTGGTTTTCGCGCTCAGCTCGCGTTTTTACGTGAAATCGTGGACGTGTTTAAGCATCCTCAAGCGCTAGCCAATTAACCAACCCGCTCCACCCTTATATCGAGAAGAGAAGGTCGTGCTGAGGTGCAAAAAGTCGTGTACTTGCGCGAACTGGCTACGGATACCTGACCAGACAACCCCGGCCCCGTGTCCCAAGTTACACTCCGTAGTCGTCCGTACACGGCTTCGCTCCTTCGACCGTCTCCATACCTCACTCTCGTTTCCGCCGGAAAGCCCACCTCCTCCCATCACTCTCTTCCATTTGCATAGTGAGCGAGATTTGTATATTGCCTTTGGTTTTACGCATACGCATCGTCATTTCCTTCGTTTTCCCTGCCTGGAGTCCGACGCACTTATGCGCCAGTCGCCATAGAGCAGAGCTTGCCCGAGTCTGGTAATCCCTTCCCACTCGACGGGAACCTCTTCGCAACCATGGGATCTGTTGAGGTTGTCTCGAGCCGACTAGAGTCGTTACCCCCTCGCCCACCGACACCACCTCGCGAGACCAGCCTGGCTGCCGATGCCACCACTTCGAAGCATCTCCTCGTCCTCCCTCCTTCCTCAGACCCTCGATCAAGTCTCCAGACTCCACCGAGCGTATACTCACCACTTTCCGGAGCTGACTCCACGAACCCGAGCGGACGAAGAGCAAGGAAACGTGTGGGCTTTTCTGCCCAGGCGCAATACAACGAAGCACCAAACTACCCAGGTCTAGCTGTTGCCAAATCCCGATCATCGCCCCTATCGGCGTCGGCCTCGACTCAGCCCAAACCTGTCAAGGGCATCCTCAAACAAACCTCTTCGCCGAGTCCCCTGAGTTCAAGTCTCAAGCCAGACAGCTTGACGACATCAGCAAACATATCAGACATGTTGGAGTCAACGGTGAAGCAGCTCGCCGGAGCAGACAGGGACTCGAAGCGGGATGCCTACACAACACTGGTCATGACGCTGAAGACGTCCAACAACCTCCCGGACCGAATCGCCCTTCAGTCTAAGATGAGCCTCTTCGTGCAGTTCATCCAACGAGACATCACCTCCAAGAATGCCACCAACGGAGGACCAGATGCGCCTCTTGTCAACAACGCTATTTCTCTTCTCGCTACTTTTTTGCATTTCCCCGCCATTGCCTCGACGATACCCAGCGATTTCGGCATTTTCTTTATAGATCACTGCATTCGATCCTTCGAGGATCCTGCAACACCGAAAGATGTGGCTCGGCATCTAATGCAAGCTGTCGCTACGCAAGACTTCTCCGCAAAGGTCTTGACCTCGGATCGCGTCCGCCGCCTCATGAATGCCCTCCGCAATATCGAAGACAACCTAAAGGGAAAGAGCATTGTGATGTCTCGAATTCTCATCTATAAACGCCTGGTTCAACAGTCACGCCAGTTGATGGTCCTTCACTCCGATTGGCTGAACGACCTTTTCACGGACATGCTGAGCAGGGTCAAAGAGCTGCGATCTGCTGCAATATCTCTTGGTCTGGAAGCGGTCTACATATTCGGGAAAGAAAAGTCACTGTCTCGGAAGGTGATGGAGCTCTTTGATACATCCATTGAAGAGATGAAGTTCGCAGAGTATTACCACCAGCAACTAAAAACCATGGCAAAGGACAAGGACGACAGGCAACTGACGGCTTCAGTCCCCAAGATCTGGAGCGTCATCATTGGTTTACTGCGCTGTCCTCTTGACAAATGGCAATTCTTCAACCAATGGCTGCAGCTCATTCAGATGGGCTTCAACAATAGCGATCACCCCCAAACTAAGCAGGAAGCGAATTTTGCATGGAACCGTTTCGTCTGGTCTATGCATACCGAAGGCCAGTCTTTCGTCAAGCTTCTCCCCATACTTTACCAGCCACTAGGCAGCCAGTTGAAGTCAAAGTACACAAACAAACACACACGAGAGGTCGTTTTTGGCAGTGTGTGCAACCTCCTTTACTACGCCTTCAAGCCGGGAACGAACAGTGCTCTTCTCGACACTTACTGGGACATTTGCGTCAAGCCCTTGATAGAGCCACCCAAAGCGCAAGCAAGGAACCCCGACGCTGTTGATGAGCATATGCGGCAGGTAACACTAATTCTCACCGGTCTTTTTGACTCGACAACACCTCGGATTTGGAGGGAGGAGCGTATTAGAGAGACAACTCTTGCCCGGCCGAACGAGCTGCCAGCTATCGATCCCAAGTGGCTCCGACGCAACGCTGCTCGTGTTTTTCAGACTATGGAACCTATCATGGATAGACACTTTCTCGAGCTCTCGGACAAAAACAGCCAAATCCATCGCTTGTGGCGCACTTTGGTGGGGGCCATTGTATCGGCCGCCTCCAAAGAGATCAAAGTTTCTGTCGACACCGCGGCGTTCATTTCCCAAGTGTGCGGCCTTTTGCTCAAGCATTGGGAGACTGGCTTGACGGAAATTGAAGATCCTACTCCTGAGATGGCGACCAAGTTCCTGGACAGCGCTCGCGAGCTCATCATAGTCGCTGTAGAGGCCCTGGGTCTTCGGCCTTTCACCGAGAAGATGATCTCTCTTAGTCGTCTTCATACCTTCACACCTGTGTCAACGCCGTCCCATAAGCCGGCGAAGAACGCTGGTGACGCCCGGACTCCGCTACAGCATTTGATCGGCTTGGTCTCTCGGCTTCCCCCGGGTGTCCCCGATGGGGAGGAGTACGTCGAGTTCTTCAAGACGCTCTTTGCACCTTTCTTAGTCCAGAAGTCAGCAAACTCTCGCTTGGAGCTGGCACAAGAGATGCTGTCGGCCACTCCAATCTGGTCGCCGCCGGTCAATCAACTTCCCTATGCACCATGGGTCTTCGCCGCGGAGTGCCTATCGGCGACCTTCAGCTCACCCCAAAACAGCACTCCAACAACTAGCTCAATAGCTGAGCCGTCACTCGGTCACGAATACCGCACCGTGGTGCGTTTCCTGGAACGAGGATGGAAAGAGACTTCCAATCTACCCTGGGAACCCTGGTGTTCGCTCTTCGCGAAGTTGTCGGCCCGGTCTTACCAGGAGACTGGCGAAGCTGGCCGCGCTTTAGGCACTATCGAGCCGCTTGCCAAAGTCGTCCGGGAGTCTATCCCTGCCGACCATGCCTTGCCGCTGTCGACAAAGACGCTTCTTGCAACAACTGAGCTTCTCTCCGTTGCTAGCCACCCATTGGACAGACAGGCATTGGAAGCTGCTCGACGCAGGTTATGGGGTACAGCAGTTGCGGGACCTAGGTCATCCTCTTTCGATCCGTTTGATAACTTTTACAAACTGGTCAACGAGGTGATGGAACGACTCTACGAGGCCGGCGAGCGTGGAGATCTGGACGAACTTGCCACCCAGCTTCTCAGGGCGAGCGGTTCATTCCTTTCTCGCTGCAACCCGGAGCTTGTTTGCAGAACTGTATCGAACTTGGAGAGTGGGCTTGCCGTGTGGATCCGGGACTCGCAGGGCATTTTGAATGCCCGACAGAGCCCTGCTGCATCTGAAGCTGTGAGTCTTACTACTAACAGGGAAATCTACTTTACTGACCAACAGCAGGTCAAGCTTCTCTGGGAGACCGTTTCCAAGATCATTTTGCCTAGCGGCAAGCCAGAAGAAGTGCAGCTCGAAACATTCGAGGAACTCATCTGCGCTGCCTTTGAAAGCAAACACCGCCATATTCTTAACTCTGTCGCAGAGGCGTGGAATCGGATTTACGAGAATGCGGAACAAATCCAGTACCCTGAACATCTCAAGGCCGTCTTACTGGGCATTCAACCGGTTGTGACCCTCGTTCTTCCAGGCTTGGAGATCGCCAGTGTGGCGTCTACGGACCAAAATCGCTCGTTCGTCGAATCGCAGGACGACATTGAGATGCTCACCGTATCCTCCACACGCTCATCTCGAAAGAAAGCTCAGAAGTCGGCCACGTCCAACCAATCATCGCCTCTCAGCTCTGTCAAGCTGTCGCTCTCTGCGAAGAAGCAGCTGGACAACACTACACCTATGAAGGGTCGTGAAAGGTCCCGGCGTAGCGCTGCAGCCAAGGCGCGGTTGAGACATGACGACTCTCAGATTCAGTTCGCGCCCATTGAGAAGTCTCCTTTGAACCCGGCAGTCAACGCCGAGTCTCAAGTTCTCACCGAACGCCAGAAAGAAATCAGGGAGAGGCAGAAGGATGCCGCGGCCCTTTACCCAGAAATGCGGTCAAGCCCTCAACAGCAACAACCACAGGTCATTGAGAAGTCGACCGCCCCTAAGATGGTTGTCGAGACCCCTAAGGATGTGACACCTAAGCGCAACGCTAGGTACGAGGAGTTTGTCAGCTCGACCCCGACACCTCGCCGAGGTCAGACGATGGCCATGGCAGACAATGATCAGGAGATGACGGATCCTCCTTCTTCACCTCTGGAGCCCCGACCTTTCCCTCTGCTGCCTCAGATCAAGTCACGCTCTAGCAGTCGCAGCGAGTTAGAGAACTGGCAGTTTAGTTCCTCTCCTGTGTCTGGCTCTCCATCTCCCGATGCCGCCGTCATGACCGATGAGCCTACAGATCTCAACTTGGCCGACAGCGCAACCTCCCAACGTGTCCCCCGAGCAGGTAGCCCGGATCTATCAGCCGTAGATGACTCGTTTCAGATGGTCCCCTCAAGTGCCGTGGAGGAGCCGGAGCTCCCACCGCCTGCCTTCGAGACCGCAAAAGAGACGCTGCAGCCCGATCAATCTCAGCATGATATTGCGGAATCGTCCGCAGAAACTCTTCCTGACCCTGCGCCATCAACCCCCAAGAACAACCGAGTGACTGGCGTAGAGGAGCCCAGATCTGGCCAGGAAGTCTTTGTCGACGCGCCCTCAAGCCCACAACCCACAGTACTTACCAGGTCTGCCTCGCGCGCAGCTGCCATCAAGGACCGCTCCTTTGAGATGAGTGACGGAGACGAAAACAGCATGTTGAGGCTTGTCGTCGAGCTCGACCGTAGGCGGTGCGAACTCCCGATCAACGATTGCCCTGCCATTTCTCCTCCAAAATCTAATAAGGGTCCCAGCAGCGCCAAGAAAGAAAAGGTTCCTGTGCTTGACTGCATCACAGTCCGAGGTGAAGATGACGAAGAGGAGGACGACGAAGAAGAGGAGGAAGACGAGCCAGCGGAGCTTGCTCTTTCACAGGTCCAGACAAGAGCCCGTAAGAGCAAGTCCCATTCGCCCGCACGACCCTCAACTCCTGTAACTCGTTCAGCTGCTTCATCCCCGGACAAGTCAGCTAGGAAGCGGAAGAGGGGCGGTGCTTCCAACGTCGATACCCGCCACAAGAAGAGGAAATCTACTGGTCCCTCAGAAATTATCGAGTCGTCCCAGATCACCATGTCTCCGGTGCTCGGGGAAGAAACCCCCCGCCGTCGTCGCAGCCAACGCATCAATGCTAACGACAGCCCTTCGAAACGCTCCGTGGATCTGGATGCCGAAGTCAACTCTCAACTGGTTAATGAGCAAGAGGAGGCGGACTTCCGGGCGAGTCAATCATTCGAGGAGCCGGAGCTGGAGCAGACAACAACCATGGCACACGAGACGGCAGAAGACTCCATGGATGTTGATGTCGCCGATGCCACCACTGTCGCTGAAGTAAACCCAGTCCCCGAAACTCCTGTCGAAGAAGCCGCCAAGGATGTCAACATGATTAATAATCTGAGCGGCGTTCTCGCCAGTCTTCGCTCAGCAGCACTATCACGGGAGGAGGTGTACAAGATGGAGGACATGCTCATGGATATCAAGAGAGAGCTCTACGCCGCCGAGGCTCGTGGGCGAGCTTAACCAGAGTTCTACTACCACTACCGGCACTGACGCGGAATGCCAAAATCCGACAACGACCCGCTACCGCTTGTCATCATTTCCCTTTTGTTTCTTGCTTACTGGCCTCGCGAGGACACTGTCAATACGCCTCCGCCACGCCATATATACATGTACATTCAGGACGACGATGGGTGTGTCAGCAACACCCGCCATGCATTGTTGGCGTAGATCTTTGGTTTTATGAGTTGAAGACGAAGAAAGCAGAAGAAGGAAAGGAAAAAAAAAACATTACTTGGTTTTGGTTTTTTTTCCTCGTTAACTTATTCTTGTATGGAAACTGGGTATAAGGGAAAATTCATGGCATGAAACTGGATTGAAGTTGGGGAGGAGGGGCAAGGGAACGAGGAGGGGAGGGAAGGGGGGGACATACCATCCTCGACTTTATCACGTATTAGATTGTCGCAAACGCATCTGGAGGTTCACCGCCGCCCAGAATAATGAAAAGAGACGAAAAGGAGAGCAAAAAGAGATAATGATGAGCTGTCATAGCACACTGGGTATCCTTTGCACCTGTGATCAAGGGTTGTATGTGTAAGAGCGTGTGTGGTTTTTTTGCCGCATCAAGCGCATCAAGCGTGATGTATTCAAAAGGGGTAGTTTCCGGGCCTGCTTTCCCTTAACGCGCGCGCCTGCTGGTTCATGATAACTTTCGGCCTTCACTGCTTCCACGTCTGGCCGTCTAAATATCCCCTTCTAAGCTCAGAATTCTTCCTTTGGTCAGGTTTGTCCCGAGATTCTTTTTTCCAGTTATTGCCTTGACCCCTCCCCGCCGCCTCTCTTTCTCGTTCCCTTTGGCACCCCACCTAGTCGACGTGACTTGGACCCTCTCTCCCTCTCTCTCTCTTTCTCACAGCTTTCCCCTCTCCATCGCCCCACCCCGCCCCTTCATCCCCTGGCATCAGTTCGAGCTCGCCGTAATGACCTGGGCGCCCTCGAAGGCGTCGCCGGGCTCGAGCTTCTGCCACTCCTTGACGGCGCCGGGCTCCACGCACAGCATGTTCTTGTAGCCGTCCTTGGGGGCGAAGTCGGCGATGCCTTGCGCCTTGTCGACCCAGGGGTTCCAGACGACGACGTTGTCGAGGTTGTCGCGGACGACGGAGAACACGGGCTTGCCGCTCTCGAGGACGGTGACGGGGGTCCGGGGGCCGCCGGTGGGGGTGTAGATGCGGTCCGTCTCTTGGGTGATGGTGACGTCGCCGGATTGGGACTTTGAGGCGCCGTTGTCGACTTTGTCGGTGTAGGCGGCGCCGTCGAGGCCTTGCACTGAGATCTTTGTGATGTCCTGTTTGGTTGGGGCACGTTGCTGTTAGTTTGTGGACTTTGGGGGGATAGAAGCTTGGTATAGAGGAAGGGAGGGGTGGGACGTACGTTGACGCGCAGGTAGGTGTGCATCAGGACCTGGCAGTCAAAGGCCTCGTCGCCCTCGTTCGTGATGACCAACGACGTCGACAGCGTCTCGCGGTCGAGCGACACGCTGTAGATGGCGCCGAACTTGTACCCCCACTTGGCCTGGGTCTCGGCGTCGAGGTTGGCCGAGGACAGGCCAAAGTCGAGCTTGACGGAGGACTCTGAGCCGGCGGACCCCTCGCTGGTGGATTTCCCGAGGAACTCCCAGCGCGAGCTGCGCGCGAAGCCGTGCTGGCTCAGCTTGGCGGTGGGCGGGTGGGCGTCGGAGGGGGGGCCGAAGACGGGGAAGACGAGGGGGATGCCGCCGCGGACGGGCTTGGAGCCGTCGAGGACGGTGGACTCGGAGAGCCAGAGGCGGTCTGCGCCGGCGGCGGATTTCCACGAGAGGACGGTGGCGCCGTGGAGGAGGACCTCGACGGACTCGCCGGTGGGGAGGGTGGCGGAGACGCGGGTGTTGTTGTGGGTGATGTCGACGGTGGCCTGGGGCGGGAGGCCGGGCGTGGTGGCCAGGGCGGTGGGCTTGTTGGGCCGGTCGACCATGTTTGCTGCTGTGTCGCGGAAGGTATGGAGGTTGAAGGTGGGCTTGGTGATTGGGAAGATGTAGAGAGGCGGGAGAGTCGTTGCTGTGTGTATGGGACGATGCTTCTTCTTCTGAGATATGTTCGCGCGGGGTAGGATTTCGAGGCGTTTGTTGGAATGAAGATTATGGGAGATGCGGGGGGCGGCTACTCTTGAGCAACGGGGTTGATGTGAGAGTTGTAGATATGCAAGAGGTTCTATCCGAGATGGGAGGAGAAGAGGTTGTGATCGGGAGGAACAGTTTGGGCGTTGGTGGAAAGTTGGGTACAATGCAACAAGCAACAATCGGATACAATGGCAACGGGTGGATGCCGGCTGCCAGTGACAAGGTCCCAGCAGATTCAGAAAAAGTCGTGTGTAAGCAGATGTCAACGGGGGGTCTGTGTCTCTAGGTAATGTTAGTCAGGCACGGAAAAGTACCTTACGATGCTTACATAGGTAGGTCAGTAACATACCTTAGCTAGCAGTCTTAGGTAGCGGAAGAGGAGGGGGAGGGGGAAGGTCGGTCAGCTTGCTGCGTTGGATGTCTGCGTTGTCTACCTTAGGTCTGAGGGGGGAACCTGTGAGAGAGGGAGGAGGGGGGCAACCCGGAGCTGGGTGAGGGGGAGGGGGAGGGGCAGCCCTGTCTAGCGTGTTGTAAGGCGTGAAAGGGTGCCCTGTGCTGGAGGGGACCTGGGAGTAAGGCAATTGTTGCTCATTCCGTCATGTCTTCCCCACTTGTCATCGTCAGCTCCCCCCCCCCCCCCCCCAAGAGGAGCTCTTCCCTCTCTTTTACCTTAGGTAAGGTACTCCGTACTACTTCACTGCTTCTGCTGGCATGAAGGATGAAGGTGTTCTTGCGAAGGAAAAAGCTGCAACCAGTCACAAACGAGGGATCTCCCCAAGCTGCGGCATCTCTGGAGCTCTCTTTTGTTTGTGAATCCGAGCCAGGGGTCAAATTTGCCCCCTTTCTTCTCTTTCTTTCACTCGTTCTTCACTCTTGAGCTCATAGTCGCGAGGCCACCACACCCCCATCTTGTCCCGCCTGTCATTCTGAAACGAGCTTCATCCTCAACCAAGCTCCCCTCGACCACCCCCCCTGTTTTGTCAAAGCCTCGGCAAACAACGACAAAACGAATATCTGCACACTTTCTGTATGAGTTATAGAGGTCGTGGAATAGGCAGCCCACTCGGGTTGTAGCCGAATCTGTCCCTCGCAATGATCCGAGAAGCGTGAATTTCAATCATGTTCAGCCCAGCCCGCTGCTTACGATCTACCTCTTGTAGGCCAACCCATATTGACTATCGGGCACCTCGCCTCAACAGAAAAGACCTACTTTTGAGAGAATAACACAAGATGAAATCCTGTATGTCCTCGATAACAAGATAACTGGAGACAAAAGGTTCTTCTCGGCCGAAACGCGTCAGGGGCCCCAGAGAAACTTGCACGAAGCAAATAGTGGAGGATCGAAGCTCCCGTTTGGTTTCTGTGGAGATGAAGAAGGAGGTAAGGGTATCACCGTATCAAGGATTCCCGACCGAAAGGGGCCCCGATGAATTGGGTTTCTAAGCTTCGGCTGCATATTGCCTTGCTGACCGACCAGCCGAGAATGCTAGGTTATCTCGCTCCCGGTTCAGGCCACCAAAAGATAAACACGATTCAAGGCCGGCACATCGAACGGATGAACACATGAACAGTGAGCGAGCGGCAATAGTCGTGTGAATAACCCCTTTCCCATATCTATCAACGAAATAACCCCCAACAGCGTACATGAATAATACATATAAAAAAACAAATCATGACTTTTGCACCTTGAACCCGATACTATCCCGATCGTCCCTCACCACCCGTCCCCATTCCAGGAGCAACCGAAACAGGTAAATCTCCATGTCCTCCCTTCGCAGAGCCTTGTCCACCCACCGCGCCCCCTGCGTCGCGATCCACTCGGCGTCCTCCCACCGCGCCTCAAAGTCCACCTCCCGCCCGTTGAGCTTGCCGCGGCCCTTGAGCCCGACAAAGTACGCCACCGTGCTGTGGAGGGCGTGGAACCGCGTGTCCACGGGCACAAAGTGCAGCCACGGGATCAGCCGCTCCGAGTACCACTCCCCAAACACCGAAGACATGAGCGGCACGCTGCCCGGCGACCGAAGCGTCCGGAGCATCTGCAGCGGCGGCGCCGTGTCCTCGTCCAGTAGCATGACGTAGCGGTGGTCCAGGGGATCTTCCCCGGAGGCGGCGACGGGCTTCTGTCCCAGCTCCGCCCTGGCCGCCCCGCAGCCCGGTGTCTTGACGTCGCACGCGTACTCTGCTATGCCTATATCGAACGGGAGGATGGCGTTGGCCTCCCGCGCGCGGACAATCTCGTACGCGTACCAGCTACCCTTGGACGGCGCGCCGAGCATCATCGTGACGTCTTCCGCAGCCGTCGCGTTGTTGACGAGGTGGACCAGCCGGTGCTTGTGGTTCCCGCGCAGCGCCTCGTCGCTGATGGGCTTCTCGCCAATCTTGCCCCGCCAGTACACGCTGTCCTTGCGCTGCCTAAAGTCCTTTTTGTGCTCCGGCTCGTCTTCCGTCAGGGGCATCAGCGGTAAGAGGATGTCGTTGAAGCCGTCGGCTTTGAATCGGCCAAAGATGGGCAGCAGCTCCTGCGCCGGCTTGATAGGGGGCGCCGACGTGTGGAAGCTGTGGAGACGGGTCAGGTCTTGCTGGTCGCAGAGGCTCTTGGACTGTGGATAATTCCACATGAACTGCTCGTCTTCGTGCCACTTTACGCACGAGGTGCAGAAGTCGCGGACGTTCCAGTGGAGCCCTGACCTTCCTGGGGTGTTGGTCGGGCACACGGAGGCTTCCATGTCCCGCCATGCTTTGGTCGATTCGTACATCGCCTGCTTGGACTGAGGAATCGCCGGTGAGCCTCCCACGGCCTTCGACTCTGCGTTTCTCTCAACGTTGCCTTCAGGGGATGCCATTTCACCAGAACCTCCGGCCGAAGCATCCTCCATCGAACGCGACGATAGAAGCTTGAACTTCTGCTTCATTCCCGTGAGTGTATATCTATTGAGCTCAGACCACGGTGTCAGGACCCGAGGCTGGTTGCTCAAGTTGATGGGCAACTTCATGTCGGACAGATGCTCGGCAAAGCCCCCGATCATGGCCACAAGCTCGTCCAGAACCTTCTTGTTTGCGTCATTGCCCTCGTAGTTGTGGGTAACCTGCTTGTTCTCGATCGTAACCATGGCGATATGAGGCTCTTTTGGTACCCTCTCATTGTAGGCTTGCCGGATCGCCTCTGGCTTAACGCCCCAAAAGGGCAGGATATCGCTCTCCATCTGCTCAAAGTGGTCGATGATGACAGATTTCCGAGCCTTTGCGAATTCGTACCATTTGTCAAAATTAGGAGGCGGGTCTCTCCCGTAATGCCGCTCGTGATACACGTCGACGGCAACGTTCAGGTTGTCGCTGGTCATGGCATGGCGCATCCATCGATCGGATTCGACTCGAACATCGTAGATGAGTCTATTCAGTGGGTGCTGTTTGACTGTTGCCGACTTGAGGAGCCCGTAGATCGTCATGCCGACGAACATGGAGACCATGAGCACGAGGATCAATGCTCTGGGTATGAAGAGGAGCGAGCGGACGTTGGTGCTGTACAGAAACATGCTGTAGCCGAGGACCAGAAGGTACAAAGGCCCGATGGCGCTCAGCCTGGATTCCATTTGCCATTTTCCAATGTGCATGATGTTTTGGGTGGCAGCAGTGAGGCCGCAAATGAAGGTGATGATACTAGTAGGGGTTACGGGATTTGTCTCATAGACAAGGATGCTCAGCGAGGTGACGAGAACCGCAAAAGCGAAGCTATCGATGAAAATGTCAAAGATGTACAGGGAGTTGATCCCGCTAAAGGAAGTGGGATATCCCTCGCTAGCGGAAACGAGGGGTGAGATGAGGATCTGGAAGACTTTAATAAAGACTCCCGAGAGGGCCAGAATGGTGCCAAGGGTCCTCAAACGCAGCTTCGTTGTCTTGGTCCAAGCCAGAATGCGCCAAAACAGGGAGACGATGACCGCGTCCAAGAACAGTCCGAGTAGTTGGGAAGCAAGAGTGGTCATCCGGCTGTCCGATAGAGCGGAACAGAAGAAGGTTGACCTGGGATCTTGCGAGATGGCGACAAAAGTGCCGTAGCTGAAGAGGCAGGCACTTCCAAGCGCCAGCGTTCGGGAGCCGTTTGCCCATACTGCAATGTCGTCGCCAATGCTTGCCCATGGGTCCTCCTCAGGGGGTGGTGGTCGGGCTCTTTGATAGTATAGAATGTGATAGAGGACTAGATAGATACACAAGAACGACTATTGGGCCGTGTCAGTCTCGTCATTCACCTGACGATGGAGGCATATCCGCAACTCACCTGCACTCCCGGCACAGAGCATTGTAGCTGGGCGGTCACACGATGAAAAACCTCGAGACGGAGAAAGATGCAAAAGATGAGCAACGGGGCAAAATATCGCCGCGGTCTAGCAGGGATTGTCTGCTCAAAGGTGCTCTTGGAGCCCGCACGCTCATCTGAAAGGTGATGTCAGCACCGGCTACAGGGAATCCTCCCACAAGGTATACGACGGAACATACCGAATCTTCCGTCCGCGCCAGGAAGCCATGCGGCGAGATAGCTCGCCAGCCATGTCAAACCTCCCGATAGCAGAAGTATTAGAACGGATGAGAGACGTGGATACTCTGGAATACCATTGCGTCAGCGGGAGAAGCTTCTTCCCGTTTCCCACGTGGTGAACGGGGATAAATAAAAGTCTTGGCAGACTCGGCCCGTACCGATCAGAGAATGTCCCTCAACGTTGGAAGATATCCAGAGAAAGGAACCAACAACACTGTAGTTGTGTCAGAATTGAAACTGCGTAGTATTGGGAAGAATTGAGGATCTTCTTACCACAGCGCCGTCAGATGTATTTGCGCATCGCGTGCCATTGAGGGAGAC